TCAGATCTTGCACAAAGGAAAGGTGGTAGCAAGACACACGCAAAGGCACAGATGGATGATTGCATATCATGTGTCTGAATGGGAAGATCAATGCTCATAGACGGAGAGAAATGTACCTCAATCGCTAAAGATCTTAACCACTGCTTCGGCAAATGTCTGGTCAGATGTTCATCAACAATTGCAAGGGCCGGTGAGAACAATTGAAGAGCATTTTCTATTGCCACAGCATGGGAAGGGAATACAACAACATTCTAGTGACCAGAACAGAAAAAGGGTATCAGATAGATCTTATGAATTTCTAGTAAGCGAAGATAATTGTAAACATGCAACAAATACCATATCTTACTTCTTACATCAGATGTCAGTGAGATGTGGTGGTAGCACTTCATAAATCCAGCAACAAGATTCCGGAAGTTTAGACATCCAGCTAGAGGCTCACAAGGATTGGTTCTATTATCTTTCAAAAAACTAGCTAGGTATGCTAGGAAGGGAATTTTTTCATCAGCAACAGAATCGTCATCGAAGGACAAATGAAGGGAACTGCTGACTTCATGAAATCCATCTTTAAGAAACTCAAATATTTTCTTCACCTGAAAGTTTTCTTTTAGTTACTACTATTACATCTCTGTGTTATTGCTTTTATATACTCCTTCTGTCCCATGATGTAAGACGTTTTTTGACACTACACTAGAGTCAAAAAACGTCTTACATTATGGGACGGAGGGAGTATAATATAAAGAACAGAAAGAAACCTGGTTGGGATTGCAAAGTTGACAGCTGTACACAGATAAAGAATGTGAACTGTGGCCACCAGATTTCATTTATGCCCAGGCTGTACGTGCACAGACAGGCTGATCCCCAACTAGATCCATGAAGAACTCAAATCGATGTGGGCTATTCTCCTCAATTTCAACTAAAGCTGAAATATCAGTGTCGGCAGCCTGCAAAGAATCCAACTAGTTGTTCAATATGGCAAACAAAAATGGCATTGCAACATATAACCACAGCTTCGGCAAATGTCGAGCAATACTTAGGCCCTGCTGAATGTTGTTGTTCGACTCAAAGTGAATAATGTTGACCAAACCAGGACATAATACTGGTACGAAGACGATCTGATTATTTAATATTTGTTCGTCACAGCAAGACTACCTGCATAATTTTTGTTTGCCAGAGCTTCTTGATGTGAAATCCACGGCGTAGAAATACGCGCTCACAGACACCTTGTCCTGGTCGACCACCAATGTTGAATACCATAATACCCATAGGCTTTATGACAGCTATCCCTTCTTCAACTGCACGAGCAATCAATCCAAGGCCAAACTCGTCCTCAACAAAACCCTGGATACAGTAAGGTATGGTAAGTTCACAAACATAACAAGTGAACAGAAGGAGACTGCCAATCATGACCGTACTTCTTACAAACCATCTCGAGTTAAATTGATTGTACAGATGGAACTAAGTTCTCAGTAAACCATCATACATTATCACCCAAAAGATATATCAGGAGTAGAGACAAAAGCCTATAAGGAAATGATATATGTTCAAACACAATGTTTTCCTAAGATGGTCATGAACAAAGCTAAGCATTGAAGATAGATCACTATTAGTATTAGGTAATGTTGTGGACGTTAGCACAATACATCAAAGTAGCACTACTTGCATTACAGCCGGCCGGATAGCAAGAAGACCATGATGGTCATATTGCAGCAGGAGATGGTCATGCGTTTGGCAAAGACTTGCAGCAGCAAGTAAAAGAGGAGAGTCCTTTAGAAAAGTATACGATTAAGATAGAGTTGACTTATATAAGGAAAGAGCTAATAAGTCCAAAATCGTATTAGGAGTGGTCAAGGGTGCCATGTATCTATGTTTGAGCCAAGCAAAAAGAACCAATCTATTCTCTGCCAAGTTATTCTCTATAGTCTCAACCTATGTCTACCCAATTTCTCGCAGCCACGTCATCTGACTATCAGCAGGGTAGTTATCCCGTTGTGAATTAGGTTCACAATAGTTCGTATCAGAGCCAACCACCATGGCTTTTGCTGCTGAAAAGCCGTCATGACAGATACTGCATGTCATGATTCAGCAAGTGGTCTAACCATCAGTCTATCACAGAGAATTTGTTTCATCGAGTCTTCAATCCTATGGAGTGGTGGAGACCATTGAAATTTTGCCAGGAAGATAATAAATCATGGCCTTCATCAAATATGGCTTAGATCATGATGCTGCACAAGCTCGCCGAAATATCTATGATTGTTGTTTTCAGCTAGGCATCCAGTTAATCTCTACTCCAATCCGTACATCATTTTTTTCAGGGCCTTCCATGTTGACAATAGCAACAAGCTTGTCAACAGTCAAAGCAAGAAATATCATTGTTGGTGGCTCGACAAGAAGCAGCAGTGCCAGAGGCACATGAAGAAGTACAAGCAGTTACGACGAGACATACAGATGCAGTGGTGGTGGAGCCACAGCTAGCGCTGGAGGCAAACAGCTCAGCAAGCAATACCAGTGATGATGGTGTGAAAGCATGCACCAGTCGCCTGGGTGCTTGCTCACCATGACCTAAACCTTAACCTCACCAATAGACTCTCCCACTCCGCTGAACATGAACTGATTGCTATGTGCATTATTATGGCTTCGATTAACTTGAACTCGCAGGTGGCTGACAAAAGAATTACTAGGCAAGGGGGCAAGGCCCTAACCACCAAGCTAGCATACAGAGCGGCCTGGAGTCCTCAACCGACGGATTGCCTGGTCGCTGCTATCTGGAAAAAGTTTGCGCCAAACAAATGCAGAATCTTCTTTTGGCTGGCGCACAAGGACCGCCTGCACACCAACGAGAGGCACTTCCGCCGAACCATTGCTACCTCTGATGTTCTTGCCCTTTTTGCAACCAATGCGAGAGCATCGACCATCTTCTGTTCAATTCTCAACTGCTAAAACCACATTGGGATGAGCTTGGCAGCTTACATGATGGCACCCCTCAAAATCTGCAACTCTTATGGCGTGATGCTCTGTCCGATAAAACTGGAACAACGGTGATTTTGGCCACCCTTTGGAATATTTGGAAACCCAAAAGTTTTTAGGAATGAAGCACAAGGCCTAAACACTGTTGCTAGAGCTGCAGCTGACGATCTCGAACTGTGAGCCAACAGATGCAGCAAACATAGTCAGATGCAGAACCTGCTCTGTAATTGGGGTACAATGTTGTTTCATTTAACCGGGAGATTGTGATGTATTAGCGAGATTGTACTGTAATAACTCCTTTTTCATTTTAC